CTTATTTTTGTGATTGTTAAATGATATTTCCTTTATATTGTGGAATTTTATAAAATTAGATCTTTTTTATTATGGATGTGTTATAATGATTTTTATTTTTTTGCTATATATAATGATGTGGTATAAATAAATAAAATAAATACATGTATACTGTTGGTGACGAAATCATCCAGTACAAATGTAATTGAAACTTATCATTGTGATCTATAAAAGCGGTGGTTCTATTTTACTTACCCTTAAGATTTCAATTAAATATTACTGTAATTTACTATTCATGTTATTTTTTGTAAAATTATTTTTGCTTATCAAATAAAGTTCCAATTTTACAAATATAAGTGCTTTAATTAAATCAAGTCATTAATACTTATCATGTTAAAATCTATTTTTAAAAAAATATGGGCAGTTATAGCTTCTTCCTTTTGGAATTGGACCATTGATAACATCCAACGAAATTTTTTTTCCTGTCAATTTTGCTAACCTCAGTCTAGAATACGATCAATCAGAGCTTTCATAAAATTAACATACCAATAATATGTGGGTGTTCATATTTTTGTAATATAAAAAAAAGGTTGATGATACTTTATGATTTATGCTTTTTAAATGTTGTTCTTTTCAGATAGAGACGATCTCCAAATTTCCCTACAAAAAAATTGGAATAATAATCACAAAAATGGTAAAATAATTATATTATTTTCTAATGCAAATTGACATTTATATGATTTAACTTTTCTTCGTTTCCTTTTTTTCAAAATTAGTTACCACTTTCTTTATTAAACACAGCTCAAGGACACCCAATGGTAAAAAAAATATTTAATAATTAAATATCTATATATGTAATTATTAATAACAATTTTCCTAATTTTATAGTTGGTAGAATTGAAAAATGGAGAAACATTTAATGGGCATTTGGTAAATTGTGATAATTGGATGAACTTGACCTTAAGAGAAGTGATACAAACATCTCCAGTATTTATTTACAATCATTATTAATATTATATATTTATTTGAAGAAATTTTCCTTTGTATAGTAAATCAATCATTATTTATTTCTAGGAAGGAGATCGATTTTGGAGATTACCTGAATGTTATATCAGAGGAAATACGGTATTTATATAACAATCATTGTATTAAAATATAGAGAGGTGAAAAATACTATGATGATAATCAAATTATCTTTACAGATTAAATATCTTAGAGTGCCAGATGAAATTATAGAGATGGTAAGAGAAGATGCAATAAGACAACGTCAAGCTTCTAATATGGGAGGAAGTGGTGGTAGTGGTGGCGGTGGCGGTAATCGTGGTCGTAAGTACATTTAACATATTAATAAATTTATCTCTACAATGATAATTTTTAAAATCATAATAATAAGTGGTATTAATTTTAATTTAGGTGGTGGATTTCGTGGCGGAAACTCTGGAAGAGGTAATTCTTTGAAAAATCATTTCAATGTTTATCATTCGATTAATCATATTAATCATTTATTTAATAACATGTATTTTTAGGTGGTGGAGGTAGGGGTGGAGGTAGAGATGTTAAAGGGGTGAAATCAAAAAAATAATAAAAAAAATATATTAAAAGAAATAAAATACTGGATTTTTTATCTTAACATCATATAAGATCTTAGAATTGTTTTAAATTATTTTCCAACTGATTAATGAAATTTCATAATAAATTCAAGAAATTTAATAATATGCATTATATTATATACAGTGCGCATACACAAAAGAATAATTATAACTATTTAAATAACCTCATTTTCCATTCCTCCTTCTAATAATATTAAAATCATTTCTTTTTACTTGTTTTCTTTTTGATGGTTTCGTCACCAACAAAAATACCTTTTTGATTATAAGGCTCAGGTTTTTTATTTTTACGTATATTCGCAGCAAATAATGTTAATTGTGCATAATCACTTCCAATTAATAATATTTGAGTAGGGTTTAGCACTTCACATTTTATTCCATCTGGAACTTCTAGTTGAATTGGATGCGTGTAACCAACTCTAAGAACCAATTTATCTGATTCCATATTAGCTCTATGGCCAACACCTACAAGTCTTATAGGTATTCTGAAACCTTCGCTGACACCAATAACATAATTTGCTATTAAAGCTCTAGTTGTACCCCACATTGCTCTCTGATGTTCTACGCTCTTACTTTGAATGTCTACACGCAACTTTTTTTCACTCACATCACTATCAATAAAGATAACATCTTGATTTTTGACGCTTTCTAAAACTTCTTTTTTCCTGGCTGATAATATTTCTCTTTTCCGCTTCTCTTCATTTGCAATAATCTCAATTTTAATAAATGGTTTTATTGGCATAGAATGACTACCTAATGGTCCCGATATTGTTAAAGTAGTAGAATTCAAATCAGTCAAAGTTATTGGCTGTAAATTAGGTGTCAAGTCATGTTTTATTTCAACCTCTGACGGAATTGTTATAGGTTTACGACCTATGTGAGATTTGTTTGAATGTGAGGTAGAAAAAAAACACTGTTTGATGAACGAAAAAGAAGAAGCATTGTAATTTAATTTTAATTTTTGTAATTTTTGTAATTTTTGTAATAACATTTTTTTCAGTTGGAAGATCCTTCGTGTTATGATCATAAATTAGAATATATAACATTATCATTTATTTATTATTATAATTTCTATAATATAACATATTCATTTTTCGAATGCCAATTCGAGGACCACTTGGTGAGTCAAATAAATAACAATAAATGGTTTGGTGGATGTTTTTTATAATTAATTGGAGATCTCTATCTCATAGATACTTGGACAATTTGGAAACACGGAAACACCAACGTTTCTTATTCCTTGAGCACATAAGGCTAATATTTGACTTGTCCCTCTGACGATATAATGCGATTGAACATGACCATAGCTCTCAGATTTATGGCATTGCATTATTGTCAAGGAGGCTGTTAAAGCCTTTCACTTGGACTTCCAACATGCGGGGGGTCCCATAAATGTGGTACGAGCGGCTCCGCAGTTATGGGTTGCGATAACATTTAGCATGTAAACTGTGTGTTGCAAGAGGAAACTTATTTAAATCTGACACATGTAATCAGGGTTGGAATCAGACATGGGATATTTGTAGATCCAAATCCACCAACACCATGTACCAACCCTGCCTATAATCAATATCAGATTTGCTCATTATAAAGTTTGAAAGCCTCAAAGACGCTGTATATCGAGAACTTGTTAATCCCGAACAAGTTCGTGGTGTTTTATCAAACGATTTGCCTGCTTTGAATCAAATTCTTAAGGGACATCGCCTGGGAGAAATGACAATTTTTACTGGCGGAACTGGCACAGGGAAAACAACAATTTTAAGTCAACTTTCTTTGGATTATTGTAGGTCTGGAGTTAGTACTCTATGGGGAAGCTTTGAAATACCAAACATAAGGTTGGCAAAAAAAATGTTACAACAATTTGCACAAAAAGATTTATCACTGCATCCAGAAGAATTCACAGAATGGACAAACAAATTTCAACAGGTAAAAACTCAAAGTGATCAATTAACACTTTCTAATTAGCATAAATACTCACATATATAATCCAATGATTTTTTTTTATTTATTAATAGCTCCCAATGTATTTTTTTAAATTTTTTGGTACTACAGAAATTAACACAGTTTTAGATGCAATGAATCATGCAATTTTTGCATATGACGTCCAACATATAATAATAGATAATTTACAATTTATGACATCTGAGATGGGAAGATACAATAATAGATGGGAATTACATGATCGTACTATATCAGCGTTCCGTAAATTTGCAACAGATAGAAATGTCCATATCACATTAGTAGTGCATCCTGTCAAAGACTATGGAAAATTAATAGATATTCATTCAATATTTGGGTCTGCAAAAATCGCACAAGAAGCTGACAATATAATTATATTACAAAAGGTTAGAGATGACCAAGGTTTAGAAATAAGATCTTTGGACATAAAGAAAAACAGGTAATTCGATTTAATATTGATTGATTGATTAGTTGA